CTCAGAAGAAATGTGATAGAAATGAAGCAGAGTTTGCACATGAAGGAAGAAAAATAAAAATAAATAAAACTAAAAAGGAGAACAAAGACTGCCGTCATTATCCTCCACAAAAGAACAAAGTGGGTAAGCAGCTCCATTTTAACATTTTTTTTTTCATTTTAAGCTCTGCAGAGAAAGCTATTGGCTTGCCTGAAGCACTAGAAAAAAAGCGAGAAATATTTGCACATAGAAACAAAAAAAAAGCTGAAAACCTCCTGTTTCCACCCTCTTTCTAACTGAAGAGGAAAAAAGGGAATCTGTTTTTTGGAGGAAGAAAGTTCTTATCTCTGGGGTCCTTTAGGGATATCTGGAAGGAGTGCTTTTTGGAGCGAAAGGAGCAGCTGCTCTCATCTTTATGCTTCTCTTCCATTCCCACACCCTTGGGAGTGTATAGAAGTGTGTGTGCTTGTGTGTGTGTATGCGCATGTGGTAATTCTCTCCCTTTCTTTCAAGCACAGAATCCAACCCCGCCTTTCCCATCACAAAGTCATGGATTTCCAAAGTGAAATTCCGGAGGAAATTTGAGGAGTATCCGGATCCGGAGAAAGAGTGAAAGAAAAAAAGAGGCAACGTGGAGATACGATCAAAGGAAGAGCTGAAAGAGACACAGGCAGACGGCAGGAGAAGATGGGGTGAGAAACAGATCTTTGACTTTATGGTGCTTGCAGAAGAACCAGAGTTTGACATTACTGGAATGGGTGTGTTTTTAGTTTTGCTGTTTAAAAAAATATGAATCAACAAAGACAAAGTTTATCAATCCTGGGAGGAGATTGTGTGAATTTCCTGCTATACAGGGTTTTAATGCGATGAGAAGGAAAGGAGGAATATTCTTGGGATATGAATATAATCTTCCTGTATGTTAAAAAAAATGGCATTTATTTTCTTTTTGGATGTAGCCACTTTAAATTAATACTGCTACACATTTTTGTTCCCATTCCCACCCCCACCCCCATCTTACATTACCACTCTGTTTCACCATAGCATGCAAATAGTTTGCTTTTGAAGTAGCTTGCAAATGATCAGCACCCCCCTCCCTTCACTCCTGTTGACTTGTAGTGTGTATCTGCATATCGTAAGTCATATTACCTTGGTCAGCAACTAATACTTCCATGAGTGCATCAGTTTGACAAAGGGGTGGAGTTTATCAATCCAAGGTTCTTTCCTCCAACACATATATAATAAGAGCTCAAAGTGGACAGCAAGTAAGTTTTATTAGTGTGGCCCCCTGTTCTTTCTAATCATCCTGTTTATTATTGGATCATTGGATGTGGACCATGAAAGCCAGCTGTTGCTGCTCAAAGGTGCAGAATTTGGTTTGAGAAACTTAGTTTTTGATCTCCGGCAGGCCCCTATCCTTCTAGCCTTCCAGAAGGCCTTAAAAAGCTGGCTTGTCCCCCAGGCATTGGGATAGGGTAAGGCTGAAATCCAGTAATTGTTATTTTTTATGTACTGGAGAGTTTTTTTTATGTTTTAGGGCACAGGAATGGGGGGTTGGGTTTTGGGGGGATGTTGGTTTTTATTATTTCTTTACATTCTTATTGTTGTAGTTGTAAGTTACAGCACATAAGATGGGCAACCATATAAGTCTCATAAATACATACGTACGTACATACGTACGTACGTACCTTGAGCAGCATGTGGATGTGAGTGAGAGAAACCCATGTCAGCTGATAGGCAAACATGAAGATACAATCAAATTGATATAAAGAAGCAGACATAAATGATACAAAAATGGGAAGGGGGAAGATGACATTATCTAGGTTTATTAAAAGAAACATAATAATATATAATATATTATTATAATATATGATAATATTATAAAATATATTATAATAATTATATAATGACATATCTCCATAATGCTATGGGGAAAGCAAAGATCTTCCAAAGTTGAGTATTGGATGAAGCTGACAATCAATGCTATTAATTCAGATGTTTTATGTGTGCATGTAGATTGGTAGTAATATTAGAGTCAGATGGATAATAGATTGGTTAACCTTGCACTAGCTAGCAGAACATCTTCATGGATCAACCAAGTGCTGGTGAAGCAAACAGAGGAACAGAGAAAGCTGATTCCTATTATTATTATTATTATTATTATTATTATTAATGTATGACACCAGTGGGGAAATGGAATCAGACCCAAGGGCAGGACTGTTTTCTCCCCTTTCCTCCATCAACCCAAGGCTGAGTCTGACATTAGACTCAGTGAATTAGTTTAGTCAATGAACAGGGGCCAAGTTCTGCCTTCATCCAGTGCTGTCCAAACTCACCAGTGAAATATTGATTTCATTGTCTTTAAGGCACATGGCTCTCTGAAGTACCACACTGTATCAGCTGGGCATCCTATGGGGGAATTCTTTGAGTTACAAGGAAAGCCATTAGTGGTATTTCCACAACTGGAAGGGCATTGTCCAGAAGAGAATTCAGATCCTGCCATAGGTATCACTTACTTTCCTTTCCTAGTATTTATCATGGAACTTAAGGCAGCGATTTGCCAGAGGGAGAAAGTATAATCTTCTGCTTTCAAAGTTTTCCCCCAAATAAGCTAGAGAAAAGAAGAGGGCAAAACAAGAAAACTTTCACCTTGGAGCCTTCAATCCAGCTGACTCAGCACAGCAATCGGCTGTCTGCCAGCAATCAGCCACGTTTCCCAGACTCTTTCATGCTGCTGCTAGCTCAGGAGACAAGCTCAGAAGGAGAAAGCAGATGTTCCAGAGTTTTAATACAAGGAAGTAAGACTTCTCCCACCCTAATATGCTGCAGACAGGGCACTGCATACACACTTGGAGAAAAATACCTAGTGATGTATGCAAACAATGAAAAATAATGGCTATTCTTGTTAAATACAAGAGGAATTACAGAGGCATCTCTCTCTTCTTTTTTTTTTTGTCTGTTCATTCATGGAACACTGGATCTTTAAGTCTCCCCTCTGATTGTTTCTTTTGTGAACTGGAATCTGCACCTTTGTGAAACTGACAGGGGATTTTTTCCAAGCATTGTTTTGAAATGATGGCTCTCAAAACAAGTCTGCAAAACATCTCCGCCAGGTCATGGAGCTTCCATATTCAGAGGCAGCCTATCTGTGAATATTCATTGCTGAAGGACAAATAGTATGTCTCCTGCCTACTTTATTCCTAGGGGCATTTGGCTGCCCACTGAAGAAACAGGAGGTTGGATTTAGTCAGGGGTGGATAACCCATAGATGCAAAGTGGGTATGGCACACGCACACCCTTTCAGGGGCATTCTGACTTATGGTGGTTTTGAGGCAGGAAACATAAAAACGACTACTTACGCTGACATGCTGAAAATGCAAAGGCTAAAAACTGACTCCAAAACATCTAATCCTACCCGTGTGTATGATAGAGCATTGTGTATTTTGTGTCATCAGTCTGCTTGTTCAGCTTCCACCTAACGTTAATGCAGCCTTTGGCTGCCAGAAAGTTGTCCACCTCTGAATTAAATGGATTGTGGTCCTGATCCAGCAGGACTACTGATGTGTTATGTCCTTAAGCAGCAGTTTTGTTGCCTGCTCTGAACCTGCGTTGCCAAGAGCTTCCTTTCAGTTTAAAATTAGGCTCGCTGTAGTAACAAGCAGAAGGGCAAAAAGGTATGAGGACTGATTTACAGTCAGACCAAAGGCCTATCTGACTTAGCATCTGATCTGCAACTGTGATGAAGTAACATGGTCACAGATGTCATAAGAACATATAACAAGTTAGAGGAAAGCATGTGGAACGTGGCTTCTCAATCCTTTCCAATCCCTTAAAAGCTCTACTGTAGGTCACATGACTGGAAGGAGGTGGGAGGGGACAAAGAATGGAGGTCTCAATAACCTTATGATTGGTGACCAACTGCGTCTCCCATCAAGATGTCCTCGGATTTTTCTGAATTTTTTTTTCTCTGCAGGTCCCAACAAAATCTGGCCCATTTTCAGACGCATTTATTGTCTTTCATTTATTGGCTTTTTCCATAACACCAAATGTGATGTCATCCTGTTTTGGTTTTGGAGTGTTATCCTGATGATGGACAGACAAAGCCCGTAACCCATTTACATACAGTAATTTCTTCCCAATATTCTCCTGGGTTGGAAAAGTTAAAAACCATGCTAAACCAAACTATCCACTTTTATTTTCAAAGACACCAACCATGTGTTCGGGACAGCCACTTGCATTAGCCAGGAATTTTTTTTTCTTCCTAGCATTTTTCCCGCAGGTGCAGTGTCCGGTTTTTTTTCAGATAAACCAAATATTGATCCACTGGTTGCGACAGGAATTGACCAACTGGCTTGTTGCCCAAACCTGGTGCCCAAGCCTAATAAACAGGAAATATTACTCAGACAAATTCCAATCATTCTGCTTATGAAAATATCCTTTACTTGGTTCTGGAACACAAATGGAATATGGTGTTCAAATGTCTGGGATTTTTGGAAATATTAAAAATTATTAATTTTATTTGTGCTTTTGATTGTTTAATGCCTGGTGTAAATAGAGGGTGGCTGGCCACCTGATTTTAGTTTTTGGATTGTATGGTTACTTATTCTTCTTGATTACTGTATATTGGGAGATTACTTTTGAGATTGTTCTGTATACTGCCCAGGTCATTTGATTGGAATGATATAAAAACGTTGCCAATAAATAATAAATAAGCCACAAAAAAAGCTAAGCAAGATTAAAACTAACCAAAGATTAGCATATTGTATGAATGCAGCTGGTATGACCTGGGTATATATATCATCAAACACAGCCAGAGTGATTTTAGTTTTTAAAATTCTCTGATGACGCTGGTAGGGTTAGACTAGTGGGCCAGGCAATGTTCCTTCAGATTTAGTTTCTTTTTTTTTTATGACAGTCAATGAAATACAATATTTTTATGTTTGGACAGGGAGGTATTTTGACAGGAAAAAACCTACTAGCTAATTTACTGATCTGCTAAGAGTTTTTGACTTCTGATGAGAATATTGTAAACAAGCAAATTCATGCTAATTTTTAAAGAAGTGGAAAATACATTTCTATTTTCAGGGGGCACAACTGTAGGTTTTATATTGTTTGCATTACTCTTCACTGCAGTATTTAAGAATCTAGATTTATTGAGCACTTAATTTAGCCTGCTATTTTCCCCATCCCTTACAAGTAGGATGTGAAGCATTTATTCTGAAGTTCAAGACCTATTCCCTGTGGACTTTGAGATATCGTTTAGTTCTCAGCATGAAGTCACTTCAGTGAAAATTTATTTGGAGCTCTCTGATTTGGTAGCCTTAGTAAAGAATTCCCCCAGTGATTTATTCTGTGGGATTATGGTTATTGCAATTTAGTAGCAACAGTTTTGCCAAATACCTTTGGTAGTCGCAGTAGATGTTTTTGAGTTGGGTTTTTAAAGTACTGATGTTGTCACACTAAAGGTTCTCTTGTACAATAAAAAAATAGAAGTGAAAAACACTTAGATGATTTAGTCCATCCAACCGTATGCTAATAAAGGAAAGGTACTATTCCAGCATCCTTGATAGGCTATCCATTCTTTGCTTAAACCTCTGTTTGTGGAGAAGAGTCTCTTTGACTGCTGAGCATGTTGTCAGAATCCCTGAAATATTTTGCTGAAATCTACTTTCATAAGAGCTATCTTGGGTCAAAT